CTTATTTCTTGTGTCCATGTTAGCATGCACTGTCTCCAACATTTACACCAGAGTGATAAGCAACAGTGTACAACCAAAACCTTTTAATTTAAGTGCAGTTGAAAGTTCAATTAAAGCTCAATGGTGAAACAAAAAAAGGGGGGGGGGGGGGGGGGTCAAACCTGTGCTGCTGGCATAACCAAAGGACATAAATACAAAATCCGCGAACCTCCACGAAGTGAATCATGACGAGTCGGCGAAGAACTGGAAAGTTGAATCACCCGCCCACTTGCGTGTGTACAATATATAAAATGTTTTATTAGTCATAACCCACATGTTGCATCAGTTTCTCTAATCTGTTTAGTTCTCCTTGTTACTACTTTGTGGACCGTGAAATGTAGCCCCACCACTGTGGTCTAGTGGCTAAGTTACTCCGCTGTTGACCCGCAGGTCACGGTATTGAATCCAGGCTGCGGCGGCTGCATTTTTGGTGGAGGCAAAAATGCTGTAAGCCCGTGTGCTCAGACTTCAGTGCACGTTAAAAAACCCCAGGTGGTCGAAATTTCCAGAGCCTTCCACTACGGCATCTCTCATAATTACATGGTGGTTTTGGGATGTTAAACACCACATATCATCCGTGGAATGTAGAGCCACAATGGTACTTTGATGGAATGTAACCTGAAGTTGGCAAAGACGAGCTCTGTGCATGTTTTCCTGTTGGTTGTTTGTCATAAGAAATGCATCATAGAGTGTATCGAGACGTCATGTACTGCCCAAGCCAGTTAATTGTCCGTGATGTCAACGCCGAAGCCTCAGACAAGTGTGGAGGGTTGTTCTAGTACCTTGTTTTGTAATAGCACATGGCTAGTTCGATGTAATTTTTTACGTTGCTTTGGGAGAGATTTGGGGCCAAGTACACTGTCATGACGATTGTTCCATCAGATACCTTTATTGCAGCTTGTTCGCCGTTGTGAAATTGGCCGCTTGCCGCTGCTTCCCAAACTCTCGCCTCTGAGCTAGCTAGCTTATCTGTGTTTGCATTGTTTTCCGTGGGCAAGAGCATGTTGAATTCATGTTCGTCTTCATTCAAGGTAGAAAGAGAATGCGTGGTCTGGAATGCACTCATTCATCGCCATCATCCACCGCACCAAGTGCCCATGATGCCTTACAGATGTGCAGCAGGTACCCCGCTTATCAGCAGAATGAGGAATGGCATAGTGACATTATGGGTGGTACCCTACTTCATGAAGGATACGGTGAGCGTATAGTGGGTATTTTGAATGTGCTGTGCCGTGACAGATATATGGAGACAACAGACAAGCCCCCAAGGTGCTTCGTCCCTAAAAGCTTTTGAACTAAATCTGAAATTGAAAAAGTTACGTACATGTCAACCTAGCACCATAAAAATTTGGGAGACCGTAGCAGGTGGGGGACATAAGAGTATTTTTTTTTTTTTTTTCATATTACAAATCACCTAGATAGACATTTGAGACTTGCTGTCGTTGCTTCTACACACTGTCATTGGGATATCACAGCATTTCACAGCCTACATAATATCGTTTCGGCATCTGCAGGCATTCCCTCGATGACGGCATTTTGTTTTCCTACGCCCTCATCCACTTCGCACCCTCACCATGTGGGAACATTTTCAGAAGCAACAGTCCTGCATGATCCCTCACGCTTAGCAGCAAGTTGTGCTCCACAAGAAATCTTATGAATAGGCATTTTGCACGCATTAGTTTCTTTACACTTATTTTAAAAGAAACTTCTGATGTTGCTTGCCCTGCTCTTCCGCAGCACTAAAGTAGTTGTGATGTTTCTGTGAAGCGATGCGCACTTTTACGACGACCTTGCCACCGTGGGAAACGATTACATCACAGGGGACACATGGTACAGAATCCGTACTTGCCACCTTTCCGCAAAGTCACAAATCACGGAAACTCTGCTGTGTGCCAGTCTACAAACATTTGCAAGAACAATTTTTGCTTTGGCGCCGCCATCAACTTTCCAGTTGAATGCGGAAAATATCCCCCATAGAGTTTATCACAATCATACTAAAGGGAAGTGTGGCACCACCGTCTACACGAATTTCTCAAGGGGCCCAGTTAAGGTGCTGGTGTTGAGCGAGGCTTCGGCTCAAAAGCAAATATGACTGCATAAGTAAAGCTTCTCTAAAAGAAAACGTTAATAAGTCTATCTCATTCAAACGTATTATATTCTAAAATAAAAGTACACTCACCTTGACGGCACAACAGAACGGCGAAGGCAAGAAACTAGACATAAAAGTGGGGGAGAAACGCTCTCTTTGTTGTCTGCCTGCGAAGTTTAGCAGCCGTTGGTTACTTCTTACGCTTTGTAAAATTGTACATCAACGTAAAAGGTTCTAGTGTTAAATAAAACACGTTTCTGTGCAATGACAAATATAAATAGCTTATCACGTGCTCTTTTAGTAAGAAATCAATCGCTTTAACTTGAAGCCAGACACGTCTTTTGAGGTATACAAAAACAGAGAAGTTCGAAGCTCACATATACAGTCATTCCCTTGCATCCAGTAGCTCACTAGCGCCAGATTTCCCTCTAAGTATGATTGTGAGAAACTATGATACCCCCCTTCCACCAAATAAACACAACTTACGCCTGGGCAGGCAGCGAAAGCCTAGCGTACCAAACGCACGAGCCAAGACAGACGCAAAAGTTGTGGTACCTTTTTACTCTCCTTCTGATAATGTGGTGAGCGTTCTCGCAGCCACCGGCTTTCGCCCACGTGCGCGGCGCTATAGTGCCTCGAATATACTAAATGGTACAGTGTAGTATGATTGCAATGAACTACAGAAGTGTAGTGGCAAGTGCTCTTCTGAAGCGCTGTAACTGTTGCAGCAGGAAAGGCCAACGTGCGCACGTGATCATAAACACCTAAGCTGTGGCAGCAGCTTTTTGGGAGATTCAATATAGCATTTGCACAATCTGGAGATTAGGTCAAAACTCAATAGTCTCCCGGACAATTTGGGACAGTCGGCAGGTATCGATTTACAAAGCACAAAACAGACATAAAGCATGTATACACACATACTTAAACATGACAACTTAAAAATACAGAATGCCCATTTGGGCACTGTGGATCTCAATTGTGTTTATAGCACTTTTTAGCTAGGTACCTCACAGACGTCAAATTAAAAGCTATTTTAGAACAAAATGATGCGGAATTGTTAGCTAGTTTATTAGTGGAGATGTAAACGAGCTGAAAATACTGGCAGCAGGCCATGAAAAGTGATGACACTACCGCTGATGAGGAGCCCCCTCGCCAAGGCAAGGTACTTAAGAAGACTAAAACGAAAGTCCTTTTTTGCAGTTACTTTTTTTGGTAGTGATCGGTGCAAAGAATATAAATTGTAAACATGCTACATCAAAGTACTTTTTTTTCCCTTTTTTGCGAGGGTAGATTTGTGAGATTTGAAAACGATAATGAGCAGCCGACTACAGTTGTTGACAAACAAAAAACTCCATGCCAGTACTTTTCCAAGGACTATGGAGAAGTTGGGATAGAATGCACATTTCAATTAAACGTGTACTTTGTACGAGAAAAGCCTGCTCACTCTCTGAAAATGGTAGAGAAAAAAAGTGCCATCTTGCATATACATACTATATTTGCAGTTGTAAAACTACCTCGGGTGTCGCACATGATTGAAACACCGTAAAACCTCATCAATTTGAACTCTTATTTCAAAATCTCGCTTGATTCAAAGAATTTCTGCACTGCCGTATTTTGGAATATAAGTTAGAGTGGATAATTTGAAGTGGCAGTCAACGCCAGTCCAGTTAATCAGGAAACTTTGGGTGCCATGTGCTCCCAATTTCCAATACCTAATTCGCCACAAATCGGCAAATCGTATCGGGAATGTCACGCTGCGAGAAGCAGGCGACATGCTGCCCACGTGTCATCACCGCGTTGCAGTGAAGCAGGTCTTTTTCACAGGTGCACATTTTAGCTGACCACAATACACTTTTTCTCGTTTCGCTTGAAGCAGCGTTTCCAGCCGTTCACCCATGTTTGGGCGAAAAAACCCTGGAATTGCAGGAAAACATAACCCACAGTACTGCGAACTAGCCAGCAATACAAATGACCACCTCCGATTACTTTCAATAATTCAAAGTTCCTTGCATCCCATGTTTTGTATGTTTCATAAATTTCAAAACCCGCTTAATTCAATAATTTTGCACATTCCTAGTGACAAAATTAACGAGGTTTTACCGTAGATGTCATTTAAGCAACATTTAAGCCAAGTAAAATAGTTTCGCAAATGTTTTTTTCATTTGTACATTTTTGAACTTAAAAAGTCAAATGTAATGTGATAATTCTATCACTGAGACAGTGAAGCTTGATGACCAATTAGAGTTTACAGCTATTTATTATAGCAACATTATTGTTTATATTTATGCGAAGTTGCACTTCTTTCGTTCCTATTCATGCAATATATTTGTACTTTAGAAATTATGGTACGTTATTTTTTGTTATTACATTTGCATTTCCCCCCTTTTGACTGTACTAAATCACTGTCTTAGATGGCTCACCTGATATAATCCCTCTGGGATTGACCAGTATGTATAATAAATAGAATAAATGCCCTACAAGATAGACACTACCCAATGTTTTGTATAATTGGTGGCCAATCTGCTCTCACCATTCCAATAAGTGTATGGATGTAATCAGAGGCAATTAGCAAGCTTCCAAATAAGTGAGGCTACTCTTGAGGTATTACATGTTAGCTTACTATACCATACTGCACTCTGAACAGATGCAAGTAAACTTTTTACTAGTTTCAATGTTCCCCATACCTAGTAAGCAACATTATTCCACAATTATTGTGGCTATAATAAGAGCCTCAGGTCCAACATTTTCAAATAAATTTGCTAATGCCAGCTCAACACCTAGGCAAAATGTTGGCTGAAGCAGTAGCATAGCACACAGACACAGCTCAATATTTAAATGCTAAACATTTTTGTGAGGGAATGCACTAGAGACATTTTAAGTCATGATGATGTGTCTTGTTTATTCTTTTGAAACATTTTTATGAGAGCTCCCAGCAAAATGTAGTTACAGTGCATAGTTATGAATGCCTTTGCTGGGAGTTTTAAGTAACACAACTGATTTTTACACACAGTGGCAACATGTACTGTAAACTCACATTCGTGTGACTAGGATGACTTGACATAAATGGAAACCACAAGATGCATTTAATATACACATCAGAAGTTTCTGCATAGTAGCCTAACTGTAGCTACTATGCCATTCCACATTCACCTTGTATTCAATATATCCAGGTAGGTGCCCATAAACAAGCATCACTACTTTTACGTCATGACCATGAGCAGTAAATGCCCCTCTGGACACCATAGCCGCCGTCGCAAAGTGAATCGCCTGGTAAAAGGAAATGTGCCACCACAAATAACTGTGAGGCAAACAACACACTGCATGTGAGCAGCTTGGTGGGCAGTATCCTATTGGCACACCACAAAACATGGACTAGCTCCTTTTAACAACTGCCACCATCCACTTGCATTGGATAGCCATCTGCACAGCTGAGAGAGTGCAACATGACACTGCCAAAAGATGGCACACTTCTCACAAAACTTATGACATACAATGGGAGTCCGCTCAAGAACCTTAGATGAAACATGGCGACTTAAAAGGAACAAGCAGGACAGTGTCAATTTCTTGAGAAACATTGTGCAAGGCCTTCATGAAGCACCATGTTTTGAGCACTTCACAACAATTGTATACACAGCCAGTAAGCACAACGAACCATGGGAAAGGGGGGGAGCTTTCAAGGACACAATACTCCTCTATGTCACAGCACTTTGTGGATTGAATAAAAAAAAATCCTCAATAATATGTAGCACTAGATCAGGAACAAAAAGTTCCTATCAGCACCAAACATACTAACTGCAGGCACGTGCTACAGCACTTAAAACAAAAAGCTGCAGTTCTAGTGCATGAAATTAAAAGTAAACTGAAAGAAATCCAACAATCTCTCAAACCACCATTGAGTGACCTGCTTTCATTTTGAACATTGTACATTATTAGTAAAGAAAGAGCACAGGATTGGTTAAAAACATGTACACCATCTACACCAGGCAGAACATTAACATGATTATGTACAAAATCACGAGCACTGTTTTCATGAAACTAAAAAATACGCATGCAATATATTTGTAGATGTATATACTGTCATCACTATATACAGACAAAATCACAATAATTACATTCACAAGTAGGAATAAATACAGTTCACTGAAAAATCTGTATAATTTCATCACTCACTCAATCACACACACAAATGTGGAAAAAAAAAAAAAACGGTGGAACTAATCCAGCACAGATGCTTACTTAGCCAAACTAAGAGTAGCAGCCTGGTATTAGGCTACACTTGCATAAATGCAACTTTTTTTGTGCAATTTTACTTTTCAACTTTATCGAATTTTTACTTTTTTTATTTTTTTTTTCTTTTAGCATACATGCAAGACAAATCATTCATTCCTCAAGAAAAAAAAAGTTAATAAATAACTTTGCTGAACATAAAAACAAGTCTGTAGCAAAAAAAAAGAAGCCCACAGACAAGTAAGTGAAACCAAAGGTGCACAGATGGCACAACCGAGCAAGGTCCCAGAGTCAGTGGCTGCATCCTGCCAGCCACAGTAGTCTAGGCAAGACTTGGCACTACCTGAAGGAAGCAACTGTGTACATGTCCCGGTGCACAAGACCCTGTGCCACCAGCACCGTCTCACGGGCAGGCCGACTCAAGTTGCGCTGCCGCCGCCGGGCACTGCTGTTTGAGAAGCCTCTACAGCTGCTGTGCTGCTCGGCTGCCTCGGAAGTGCCAGTGGAGAACTTTCGCTGCTTGGGGAAGAAGGTACGGTTGGTGGCCAGATGGGAACTATCAACCAGTGGCTCGCCAGCTTCACAGAGTGCCTCCGAGTCCTGCTGTGACCACACAGCAGCCACACCATTGGTGCACGTTCCTTGACTCCTTGCAAGTGCCCCCCCACCACTCACGCTGTTACTGTTAATGCTTGACCCTGAGCTATGCTGAGGACTATCCCCAAATGGTCCGCTGGAAGGTGAGCAGCTGTCGGCCTCATTGGTACCACCACCAGTCCTACGTGAAAATAAGAGACCACCAATGTTTACTGCAAACGAATTTGCAATCTCAATTCATACAAGCACATTTATTATTTTACCAATCTCAACCATGTTTGAATTAAATTGAAATAATGTGCAATGCCCCCTTATGAGCACAGCCCTTTGCACTACATGCATCGTAACAGTATTTATGCAGTAGCTGGATGCCCTAAGTGCCACATCTAGTGATTTTCCTTGTGCCGGGAATGCTTCAGCGGACCTGAATTTTCGGTTTAATGCAATCTGAATATACCTACATAAAACATTCAAAATATGAAACAGTCATGCTTATTTATTCTAGCGGAATCTATCCCCCAAAATTCTTGCGAGTACAACAAACTACAACAAACCAACACAGTTATCGGCACCCATAGGTGCAACCCGATTCGAGGCAAAAATGAATGTCCACACATGACAATATGGTCTTACAATAGTGCACATTTTATAGATGGGTAACTATCCAATGACTATTGCCCTTTACTGAAAGAATTATATTTCAACAACTAGAGCTCAATGACGAAGGCATTCAGCTACTGTAAAACCTCGTTATAATGAGCAGGATATAATGAACTAATGGATATAACGAAGCAGTTATAATTCCCCTTGAAATTTCCATAGACACCCATGCAATTAAAACCTCGTTTTAATGAAGCAAAATGTAATTAAAACCTATTTTTAATGAAGCCAAAATTTCCCCACAATGGATATAACAAATCATTTCTCTTCTACAATGAGCATTTACTGATTATTTTAGTATGTCAATTCTCAATATGTTATAGCGCACGACAGTTTACGTCTCATCACTGCCGCGGTAATTCAAAACTTGCGCATTGCGCTCCCCAGGAGCCACTTGCCAACACGCGTGTGGGAGCGAGTCTCCGCGCTTCCCTTCTCGTCTGGAACTAATGGACTCGCCCGCACAGCAACTCGGGTGAGCGTGCGCAACAGCCGGCTTCCTCCTCTCCTGTCGAACTCTTTGACCTTCCCGTGCATCTGAACTCCTTCTCCCCTTCAGCTACAGTGGCTAGAATCTTCAGCTCTGCACTGGGGTCTTGCGCGCCACCGGGGCAGCGGAGATTGTGGCTTTTGTTTATCTTTGTCATTTGCTGTGGAAGAGCAACACCACCTCAATCAGTTTTTGCCGCTAGACACGAGATGGACAATGGCAGTGGCAAATGTTAGCGCAAAAATATAACAATCGAGCAGAAGTCGACAATGTTGAAAGCCCTTCACTCTGGCATCAAGAAAAAAAAAAAGTGGCCGAAGATTTCGGCGATGTGTGGCTGCCGTGGGCAACCAGGCCCAGACGTTGTGGGGCGCTCTTTGACACCGGCATTGTGCCTGGCTGCAACACTTTCTGCATATACGTCGGTGTCGATGGTGACGCGGTGACAACCAAAGAGTTGTCAGATGCGGAAATTGTGCCCGCGGTGGTGGGCGTGCATGATGACAGTGGCGAATGGGTTGACACCCCTGAGCCCGCGCAAGTGCTGGATGCGACAGACCTGCTGTGCCGCTTCATTGGTGCCTACGATGACAGCGAAGACGGACTCGTAATAGCTGCTGCAGCTGAAAAAAGCAATCATCCGCGTGAGGAAGAGGCGGCAAAAGTCTATTGAGGACTATTTTTTCCTAAGTGATCTGTCAGCTGGTGTGCTGAATTTGGCGTAAATAAAGTGCATTGTTCTTTATTATTTTGCTAGTTTTTTGCCTTCTGCCGGCCGTTTTAATCTGTGCGGAGGGCAGCTGTGATATTCGTTCGCGAGTACATTCTCTCTTGCTGGCTAATTGTCGGTAGAAATGGATGTTGGCATAACGAACTAATGGCTATAAAGTAATTACAACTCCCCCTTCAACTTCATTATAATGAGATTTGACTGTAGTTCCGAACAAAAAATGGCACTTCATGCCTCAACTTGTGGCGTGACTAAGATAAGGATATCCATGTCCACAGCAGCGTTCTTGAAGTACACAGCCTCACGTTCTCCAAGACAAATATGTGAAAGCTTTTAAATTAGCATTAACTCTTACCAACTCACCTTTTTCCATGGGACCTGATGCTGGCTTCCTGCCTTGTGCACTCAAAATCGGGAGGTAGATGTGCAGAAAGCTCTTCATTGTTGTCCATGGGGAACTTCTCTTGAATCCACTGACGGTACTGGATTACCTCATCAGTCACCCGAATGACCCTGCCAAGTATGCTGCAATAACATAACCATTTATTAGCAGTAGTAACATGCATACCATTATATATAAAGGCTATGTATGCCTAAAGATGATGCCAAGTATCTAAAAAAAATTTATTACACAATTAGATGTGCAAATCACGAGAGATCAGCATCTAGTAATAATGAAATTCATGCACCTTTTTAGCCAAATGCAGAGCTTAAAATGTACTGAAGGTACCAGGTTTCATGTGTAGTAAATAATATTTGAATTTGGCTTTTTTTTTAATATGCTAACATGTTCAACAAAGTAATGAGTAGGCTTAACATTAGCAGCAAGTTTACCTCCATCATTACCTTTTACTGGGGGGCAGGAGGTTGAGGGGAGCAGATAATGCTTAGAATGTTATTACTTTTTTTAGTAGTGTTTAAATTATGCCCCCCCCCCCCCCCCCCACTCACACTATACAATGCAGTATATAGTGAAGTTCGGAGTGTAAAGACAAGTGAAACTGAAGTATGCACGGAATGGCTACATGAAAGACAATGCAAAAAAACCTAATGAAAGGCATTCTCAGGCAGAGCACAGAATATTGACCCTGGAGGTGATGGCTGTAAGTCTGAAGTCAAGTTCTGAACTGAGGAAACTATAGCACAACCAAGGGCTGGGGCGGATGGGGAGGGGGGGGGGGTCTAACTCATTTGAAAGTTTTGATGAACCCATATAGACAATAATATGCATTAGCTGTTGAGCTAGTCACTGCCACTCTGTTCATTTTTTCTGGGTTTCAAATCACACTGTATCCCAGTAGATGGAGAAAAAAAAAGTGCATGCAGCTAATAGAAAAACTAAAAAATAAAGGCGCACTTAGGAAATGAGCTTTCAAGCTACCGAATCACAAATGGCAGCATGAAAGGGACACTCATAATAAGCTGCACCTCTTCAAACCTCCATTTTGAGTACAGAACACCTGCTATCACCATCACCAAGGGCACTTTAGAGCAACAACAAACAGCCAGACTTCAAATAGCACGCATGCACGCACACGCACACACAGCCTTACTGACAAAGGAACAACAACTTATCTGTGACAAATGCAATGCAACACAAGTACTACTGCACTTACAAATTACATGCCCTTGCTTCAAAATACAATGCCATAAATATTTCCATGATTTGCAAAAAATTGCATATACCTTTGCATCACACCTTTATATTGTGGCTCTCAATATACTTTAAACATTGCAGCTTTTCCTGCTCCAACTACCAATTTTGTGACGCCCTCAGACTGGGTCATCACGATCCAAGTGGCTATTGCAGTAATAAACTCAATTTAAGTAACCAAAGCACTAACTGCCACATAACGACGTTCCAAAAAAGGCCGGTGCCTGTTCTTGCCAGAAGGAAGCATGGTATGCCATGGCAAATGTACATAAAGAGACTCACTCAAGTTATCGCACAGCACTATCTAGTACAGGTCTTAATAAAAATGAACCATTCTATCAGCTGCTTTATTATTACTTTTATACTCCCATTTACGGTACTACAAAAATATGGCAGTTTGACCCAAAGCGATGCATTAACAGTGGTAGAGTAATTGTGCAGTGCACTTGGACTTATCAAGGCAATGTTCTATGCAAATGCACCATGTTGGCACGACACCACACAGGAATGGGCAGAATGAAAAGCTTGGCACATGCAAGTTGTCTGGCGACACTCGTGGAATACGTAGCACTATCAATGGCATTTAATGGTACCTGCAGTGGTGGACAGGGGAGCAACAGCCCAAATAGAATTTGGAGCAATTTTTGGAGCAGCAAACTTACTTTCTGAGCAGAAGAATAGAAAAATCCAAATTCGGAGTAGGACATGGAAAAAAACTTTTATCATGAAAGACCACATTTGCAGCAGTATGAAAAAACGCAAGTGTCTAAAAATATGCACAAACCATTTCACACCCTTTAAATCCCGCAGAGTGAATATGAACACTGCTATTTTAATAGAAATAATAGTTCGAACCAGCCCACTCAGCGAACAATCATGAAGTGGACACTGGCATTTGCCACGCCTGTCAAATCTTTTGGCAGACTGAAAATTGAAATGTGAATTTGCCAAGTTGGCGACCTTGAGATTTATTTAGCTGAGGAGTAAAGGTAGGGGGAAAAAAATGTGCCGCACAGTTTATTTTGTAGGGCTGATGAAGCAGTATCGTACAGTGTCGCAATAATTGCCAGTAACTCTTAGACGTCAGCGATCATATCAGTACTCACAATTAAGTGGCATATACATGCATGACTAATTCAACAAACTGTGTTATGTCCCGTGAAGTGATAACAGCCCCTTCCAAATATTAAAATGCTTTTCCGTAGGCCAAAACTGTACTGCGGCCATGGTGGCTTAAGTGGCGTTCTGCACGGGTTTGAACAAGACCAAGAAATTTTTAAACCGCTACACTCCCCCCTCTCCTTTCCTATTTTGAGGATAAGGTAACACCAGAACTCGCCCATTAGCCCAGCAACGGCACCGCATATTTATCATATGTGCCGTTGCTATGGCAACCAACATGATCACCAGCAAAGCCGGCGTTCGCAGCACATCAAGTTAGTTCGCACGCAGTAACAGCGGCATAGGCTTCCAGCTTTAGTTCCTAACACACCGTAACTGCATTTTCTGACCTGCGAAGTGTTGCTGGCTACGGTAATGCATTTTTGTCAAGTTGTGCCGTCCCGCCGATAGATATCCCTAGCGGTCAGCAGACCCATGAGCGCGCGAGGTCGTTACTTTATTTGAGCGATCGCATTTCGTGAAGTCCTGGCTTAGCAGTGGTTTAAGGTTAGGGTCTGCACACCTGCACCCCTGGATTGATTGATGATGCAAACTACAGGTGGCCAACACTGCCTCCATTTTTCACTGAAATTAACGCAACTGAGACTTTTGAAGCTGGTAGGGCATTCTGGCGCAGTGGCGCAATATCGGCAAAACTCACGATTTTGGCGCAGCTAGGTGCAAAATGGGTAATCGCATCAATTTGGCGCAATTGGCACAGCTGTTGCACCCCTGGGTGGATCAGTCAGTTTCCGATTTGTACCATTTTTGGAGCAGAAAAAAAGCTTATTTAGAGCAGATACGTAGCGGAAGTAACGGCGTTTAGGAGCAGCTTTGGTGAAAAAATTGCGGTTCAGAGCAGGTTCAGAGCAGTAAAAGAATGCCGTTTTGGAGTACACCATTAAGCCTGCAACTATTCAGTGCACATTCTTAGTTATGAGCATCTAGAAATTGTGGCTATAACGTAAACAAGAATACGAGACCAACAACCAGAGACCTGCCATTGATTAGGCTGTTTACACAATGGCACATGCAAGCCTCATCGCAACGCACAAGATGTACATTGTGGTGATCATTAGCAAATGACAGGTGTCAAGGTAAAAAAAAAATCGCGGCACATACATGACGTGAACGTCGATGAGTGGGCGAAGCAGTAAGCTCGTTCTGTGTTCCCTAGCAAAAATTCTGATAGAGGTCTGAATCAGTCTGATACAGTTTCCTGTAAGTTGTACCAGTCTTGTATTAGATTGATACAAAGTCTTAGCAATCTTATAGACATCCATATCAGTGATACAGTTTCTTACCAGTGCTACCAGTCTCCCATCAGACTGATACACAGACTAACTAGTGCTACCAGTTTTTGACTAAGTTTGATTGGTCATTTATATCCCATATATTAGTCTATAGGTTTTTAGTCTTTTGTTCATTTATCTGATCTTAATAAAATGCATTAGTCTTTTGTTCATTTATCTGATCTTCATAAAATGCATAACTGTCATTTTAACAGTAGTTATTTTTTTAACACTGCCCACATATATATATGATTGGTCATTTCTTCGATTGATTTGTGGGGTTTAACGTCCCAAAACCACCATTTGATTGTGAGAGACGCCGTAGTGGAGGACTCCGGAAATTTTGACCACCTGGGGTTCTTTAACATGCACCCAAATCTGAGTACACGGGCCTACAACATTTCCGCCTCCATCGGAAATGCAGCCACCACAGCCGCGATTTGATCCCGCGACCTGCGGGTCAGCAGCCGAGTACCTTAGCCACTAGACCACCGTGGCGGGGCGATCGGTCATTTCTGCATGTATATTAGTGTATCAGCGTTTGTACTGAACACTTGGCGAACATTGCGTGAAATCTTACGATCACTCAAAGAGTGCGACTGGCAGCTTTTGCGTAGAATAAAATATACAATGCATAATTGACAAACTGAGCTTTAAGTATGCAAAGCAGGTTTCAGCCTAGATGGACACCTTATTCTAGGTACAAATGGGGTTGTAGATGCCAGATAGCAACACAGTTTATGCTGACAATCATAGAAGACATCCAGAAATTTCAAGATACTAGTATCCAAAACTTATGAGATAGCAGTATAAACATAACTTGAAACAATACAAAGAAAACTTCTCATCACAGAGCAATACTAACAGAATTTATAAATTTTAGCTATAGGGCCAATAAACATCCCAAGACATAGAACTTCATAATCAGTGTACTGTGAGATGAGCATGCCAATACAATAATTTTCTGAAACGGCGTATAGATGGAAGCCTTGGGTGGTGCTGCAGTTTCCCCCTTTCACAACACTAGCCACCCCCAGCTGTCTCTCCCATATAGTGTTTTGCCTTTAATGACGAGCCGCTACATTAGTGCTATAATCCATACTGAATGAGATCTTTTAAAGAAACAATGAAATGCTTCTTTGAGTGATCATTAATTGACCTCATTGTCAAAATTTAATGCCTTGTAAATCCACTGCCACAAATATTTCAAAGTTGAGGGGTTTATTACGCACTTCAACCATTTTCTTTTTTTTCTCGTCGGTCCCAACAAGCCCCGCTGAAAACTACAGGGAGGAATGGCAGAAAGAAAATGTGTTATGTCAGCACACATTATGAGCTAGACCGTGCTTAAAGAAACGCGGTAGCTTTTTCGTGTTGCCGTTCCCATGTGCGAGTGTGACTGTGCAATGTTACATGAT